CTGTTAGTGTCCCAAAATGGCCTGTTGGAGGGTCCTGGTTTGGGAATTTGATGCAGATCAGCAGGTGCAGGACCCTCATAGGCCAATGAGGAGTCATGAAGCGTCATGAATCAATGAAACGTCACTGTGACTTGAGTGATGGCTTGGACCCCCATCCACAAGTTCATCCTGCATACCGAGCTGTACCCCAGGATCTTCCAACGGGTGGTGTTTTGATGCATGTTTGGATCATTTTGCTTGTGGAGCAAGTGTCCAGCAGCAAATATCCACGAACATGGCCAAGCTCCGAGTCTTTTGGAGACACTCGCTTCTCCCGTATGGATCAACGTTGATCCATTCACTTCCGCTTGGCTCGGGCTCACGTGGCTCCAAACATGCTCCCATTTTTCGCCAGGGGGCCGGACGAAGATGGGGATCCATTAGGGACCGCGTGGCTGATGTTGTGGGTGGCAGGGGGTGGCGTGTAGGGCCTAGAGCGTACTGCGGGTGGTGCTGCGCAGTAGACCTTCACACCACCCGGTACGCGGCGGCGGTGTCGGGACAGATGCTCAGGTCAGTGCAGGAGGCGGTGATCGCACGTTTTCCCATTTTCAAGGCGTGATTGAGAAAATTGAGTCAGCCTGCGGTTGAAGGCATCAGATGTCAGTTGAAAGCAGGTGGTTCAGAGCACTGAAACACATGCTCGCGCCATTGATGAACATTTGTATATATAAGTAAGTTTCATTTTATTCGAGGTTGATTTCATTTTAATCGAATTCAGGCTTTGCTGTGTAGCAATTGCTATATTCACGGTATGACTCATGGTGTGACCATGGTATGACCCTGCCAGCGCACTCCCTGACTTTCTCTCTTGCCTGCGAGTTCAACGGTGTGTAAGCCTTTAAGCATCAGCCATGACGAGTGTTGTGGCTAATCAACCGAACAGTTCAAAGTTACAGTTCAAGAAGTTGAAGGTGTCGTCCTTCTTTCTTTTGTGCTTTGACCTTTAACATCTACCAGCCACAAGCTACCTCATCATACGCATTGCCATAAATCCCCCATCCAAAACTAAGATCCACTCAACTCATGGAGTGGCTCCCAAAACATTTGACATCAAATCTAAATCAATCGAAGAATTTGGTTGGCTTTCAGCTCCACTGTCTTCTTCATGAAATATAGCGGCTTGCCTAAGAGCGATGATGCAAAAAGGACATCATAAAGCTTGAACAAACATGATGCCACAGCATTCCACATTCCACACCAGATTTTGCCCAGTGGCGGGGTGAGAGCTCCTGTCAATGGCAAAGTTAGCCAAAAGAACGTTTTAGTGATGTGAAATGATGGGGCTTTCTGCCCAATCACACCACCAACTGTCAAAACAGTATTCACGCTTCGAAACAAAAGTTTGTAGGTTCCCTCTCCAATTTTGGCTTGGGACTCATTGAGATTGCAACAGCACTTGCCCGCTGGAAGAAGATGGGGCAAACAGAGAGACACAGAAACATTATATCATGTTCAGTTCAACCATCATGTGAGAGTTTGAACTCCAAACCTGTCAACAGGCTCAACGGAAAGAGTCCTATGATTTGTGAAAAAGACATTAGAAACATGTTTTCTTCATATGACAGAGTCATAGGAATTGATAGGAAATAGGAAAACAGAGAGCTTCACATTTTGCTGAGCGTCATGTGGTGCATTTTTGAATGCCCATTCGATCAGTAAATATTGATGACCCAGTTGATGACCCTCGCTGTGTGTTGCATCATCATGCTATTTTAGAGCCCATCTCCTTCTCAGCCTGCACATAGGCCACTCTCCAAGCTCTTGCGAGAGCCAAACTGGCCTCCAGCACCTGGTCAGAGTAACATGGACCATGCCATGCCACGGTTACAATGTATTTCCATGTCATGCTCCCCAAGTCCCCAACTGGCTAGTCTCATGTTAGCACCAGGCCTCTCGGGGAAAGGCAGATGCCACCGTGGTGTACTTCAGCATTGAAGACGATAGAGTGTATGAAAAGACTGGCACCGTCGAGTTGGGCTTGAGGATGAAGATGTCCTTCTCACCTTCCATTAACTTTCAACAAATGGCTGGAGTACACCTCCCAATTTGTTCTAGCACCACACCTCCTCCCTACAGACTGATCTTACTAGAGTTCTCAATAGAAACACAGGGCCGCTGGGTGTTCTTTGTGACGCAATGGCATTGATGGCCCGCCTTCAGAAGAGGCCCCTGGCCTGTCGCAAGAGTGGCCCTTGAGCTTCACGTCGACCATACCTGTCTCTTCCATCTCATGTAAGAGATTCCTGAGGGTACACGGTTCACTGTCAGTGGTAGTCTTTCCAGACTCTGGTGCAATCTCCAACACCACTTTCATGGCGTCATTGGTGGTGCGAAACTCGATCAGGTTGGACCACACATCACCTGTCAAGTAGCTCACTCATGACATATCATAACAGGTCTTACGTTGAAAACCATGGCAAGATTCAATAAGCTATCAATAGCTCAAGTGTGACAAGTCCGTGGGGCTGTGCTAGCCCAAGGTGAACAACACTGTTCTCGAGCTTTGAGATTTCATTTTGCACCCCAGAACTGATGGTAGCCGCACACAGTGCTCCATCACTGTGTGAACTAAGGCTTGCAACAGTTTCATCTAAGCTTCGGTGGACCCATAATTGGTCACAAATTTCAGCATAAACATAATATGCTTTCAAAATTCAAATCACCAAGATCTGACTCTTGTTGTCAGGCAGTGGTAATGGTGTCCTACGATTGCTTTGCGCGTGGCTTCGCCAAACGCCGGCGGCTGAGTTCAGATTGGGACAGTCCCTTCATGGCATTGAGCCGCTCTGGATGTGTCTTCCACCTGGGCTATTCAGTGACTGCCTAGAGATCCCCAGAGAGCTCAACAAACATCAGTCGTCAAACATTGAAACACAGGTTCTGCTGCAATAGGTTGGTTTAAACAATAAGTGCAAACAAACCACTCCGCCCTTGCTTTTGCCAAGATCTCTTTGGCCGGCATGTCAGGAAACTCTCGCTTCAAACGCTTTTGGTGTTCATGGATTACAGACCAGTAGACAGTGCGCAAAGTATCATCTCTCTTTGCCCCCGAACTGTCAGCATGCGTTTCCATGGACTCTCCTTGGTCACCCTCATTGTTCATGTCCTCCTCTCCCTCACTCTTGGGTGTGCAGGGTGGCAGGCGCAGGGTCTCCTTTGAAAGCGTCCCATGGCTTCGAACCTGGCACACTTCTCATTCAGAGAGGATCACATCGATCAATAGAAGCCCTAAGTTGGACATGTGTTTAAGAGACAGAAAGGTTGGAAAAGGAAAGGTTCTCTACCATGGATTTTTCATTTAGGTCATGTTCATGAGGCCATGATCATCCAGTGGTTGGTGCATAGGATTTCATGGAACAAGCGATCACCTCATGCTGGGAAGGCCTCTTCTGCAGCCTCTTCGACCTCCGGAACCTCCTCCGGTTCCTCAGCCTCCTCCGGGTGTGGAGCCCCCAGACCATGTATTGCCACGGGCAGGGTGCATATGATAAAGCGTTCAAAGTGCATGACAAGTAGTCACCACACATTCAATCATAGAGTACGGCATGGCTAGCTTGTTTACACAAAAAGCCATGTTTGTTTATTTAGTCTATTTCACAAGCAATCCTACCTCCTTCGGCTGTGGCTTTCCAGCGGACTTCTTTGCAGCAGCCTTGGGCACAACCTTTTGTGAAGCAGCCTTGGCCTTGGCCTTTGGTGCTCCCTTGGCTTTCTTAGGCGATGCCTTTGCCTTACCTGTCGCTTTCTTCTTAGGCGATGCCTTTGCCTTACCCTTGGCTTTAGGCGATGCCTTTGCCTTACCCTTGGCTTTAGGCTTGGGAACACTGGCTTGGGATGTATTGCTAGGGCCATCAGGTTTGACAGCGTCTTCCGGTTCCTTAGGTTGTACCTGTTCTGGCTCAACTGGTTTTCCTTTGCGCTGCTTTTTGGGTCCATCAGCCTCATTGTTGTTTGGCTTCCGTTTCGACTCACCTGTGACTGTGTTCACAGCCCTGTCCAGTTGTTCTTTGAGATTCTTCTTGGTTTCTTCAGAGAGCTTGTGGCTTGTAGAGCCAGGGGATGTTCCCTTGGCCCTCAAAGGCAATTCTGGCTTGGCCACAGGTTGCTGGGGCACATGTTTCTTGGCCACTTGTTGTTGTGGCGCAGCAGCAGTAGCAGGTGTTTCTGCACTCAAGGGGCTCCGATTTGGCACCTGAGCACGGCAACCAAATGCCCAGGAATCAGGTTGGAATTTTGACACTATAATATGTATACATTCTATGAGCTTGTTGTTTTGTTAGATGCAAAGCCATGCCATACAACACAATTTGTTGGTACATAGGCATTGCACCCTGAGCAAAATCTCAGGAACAAACGTTCATCGGAGACGGTGTTACCAGTGCTCCAGGGCTCTCGTCCAACATCACATTGAGATCCTTCACGCAGGATGATTTTTGGATATAATATGATATTTAATAGCATATTCTACAATATATCAACGAAGTACTCTAATTGGGTGTCCTGTTTGAACCCGTGTTGGGCAAGCACAGCAGAAAGTGAAATTCCACTTGAAGCATCCATGATTCAGCTACAGGGACTGCCAAACAAGGCCAAATAGCCAAGGCGGTTGTTGGATCTGAAATGGCTGAGGTTGCAACTGCTGGCTGGATGGATCACAATTTCGAGGAGGGGCATGAAGTGTTTGGAAGACGCCGGAAATCGAACATAGAAAACATCAAGTGTTTTGGAGGCACAGCCACTTGAGGCAGCACATACTTTCAACACGACACGTGAAAACCCTGGCCTGCCCCAGTGTTCTCTCTCTCCATCTTGGCCACTTTAGTCGCAGCCAGCCAAGTTGATTTTCCATGTGCGATCAAGAACTCCTTCGTACCGATCTCCATATCTTGGTGGGCAACCTAGGGCATACTACAAACCAAGAAATGTATTGCAACCCCCAAAGTGTTGACCTCGTATGCTTAGATTCCCTGAAACAAACCATTGAGGCACATGAAGCGAACCCTGGAACTTTCCAACCCAGGAACTAGGAAGAGTTTGAACTTCTGGTTGGGCACCATAGCAACCGACTCCGAATTTCTGCGAACTGCATGAACCAGAAAGAGTGAAGTCCCTGGTTGCCGCCCAGGAAAGCGGCACTCCACCACATACGAATCCATGAGGCCCTGCAACTCCCTCGGTTCCGAGGACCAGCTTGCCATGTCCTCCTCCTCTTCTGGCTCCGCAGGCACAATGCCAGTCTCTGTCGTCACAGGGTGGGGAGTGATGTTCGCACCAAACCTTAGAAAGGCATCAAGAAAGAAGACCAGGTTGTTGAAGCACGAGTGTAAGTATCATGTGATTGGTGATTGATATCAGTTCCTACTCAAAGGCCTTGTTTCTTCTGGAAGACTTATGGGGATCTTTACGTTTTTTTGGGCTTCATGCGTGTCATAAGCATTAATTGTGTGACTCTTTTTGCAAGGGATTGATCTTTAGCTGGCTGACCTTCTATTTCTCCTTGGAAGGATTGTTGCAACACTTGAACAAAATATAACTTAGTAGGATTTCAGATAAGAAGCTTTCGGTCGAATTCTTTGATTAACTCCTTCCACTGCTCTGAGTGAACAGCATCTTCAAGGTAACGAGACCGGACTTCATTGCTCAAGCTAAACTTGAACCTGTCCCATCCCTTCTTGGAGTCATCGATGTCCACTGCAACAAGTTTAAACGGAAACTTGTCGATGTCGATCTGTTCCGCAGGCGGTGGTGTAGGATCATAGGGACGGACGTTCCCCAAAAGGTCACTCCCCTGCTTCCACTCCTGTGCCAAAACCAGTTCCAGACAAGTCAGGCTTCAAGCTAAGTTTTGTTAGATATCCATCATAACATAGTTTGAAGGTTATGGTAGCCTAACAGGTTTTAACTTTAAACACTGCTTGGCACCGAAAAGCAAGATGGTTGACCAGAAACCCATGCTTGGGACAGATCCCCTCTCCTCCATCAAGTGCAAAGCACAAAGCTTCTGGCTGTAGCTGACCAAGTCCGAGTTGGTTGACAAAACCAAGCCCCGAATCCTTTGGGGGTTGTCCTTGTGGAACCGCAAAGAGGTCTTTTCCAGACATGCATCGTATGGCGTGAGGTTGATGACGCCAAGAACATCACCAATATTGCTTCCTGCGAGCAGGGCTTTCAGCACAGAGGTCGGCAAACTTGAGCCGGTGAGCAACTGGGCTGTCTCCTGAACTTCCGAAAGGGCCCTGGGCGCAGGGATAAATACTAACTAAAGTGAATCCGAAGCCAGAGTTTTTCAAAACTAACTCTTGTTAGGAAATTCAATACCACCAAGGTTGTTTTTTTGGTGCCAGTCAGCAATTTCCCCACCCAGCACCTCATCCCCTCAGAAGCATGTGGTAGGCTGTCGCTGGTTGTGGGAACTTCATACTGGCTCTCCGGAACCCATGGAAGCAAATCTCTGTTGGTCCTGAAGTGGATGAGATGAAAAGTAGCCCAAGAGAATGAGAAATACGATCAATAAAAGGACCTATGTTCAAACACAAAACAACCAACAGACCTTTAAGTTGGTCTTTTTTGTCATGCGCAAAAAACCTGATAATGTTGTCTAGATGCTTGTCTTGCATCATCATGCTTTTGCTCCAGCGATTGCCATCAATCGCCCCACGAAAGAAGACAATCCAACCCGCAAACGTCAAGGCAACTTTCTTGCTTGTGGGTGGAACTTCGCAACGGATTTGGATGGGCTCTGAGTGCAGCATCTTTGTATCCAGTTTGTCCTCTACCCTCCTCGCAGGGCCCGCACCAGCACTAGGTTTAGATTGAATTCCGAACTCAAAGGACAAACCTGCATCCAAGGCCTTGGAGCCTTGGTTTGTTCTTCTGTGTTGGGGTTGAGCCTCATTATATGTTGAACACAAAGAACCAACATGATGTTAAAACCAGGCACAAACCCCTGGAACTCAAACAAGCAATTGATTACAATCTACAGTCCTCAGTTCATCTCTCAATGAACCCCGCCGTTCCGAAGTTAGCTGTGGTCCAAGCAGAAAGGCACATGCATCCTCCGGTGCTGCCTCCAAAGCCCTCTTGATCAGCTCCGTTGTGTTGTTGAGGTCAGCAACGCTCAACCGCCCGCACTTCATGTAATCACACCAGACAAGCAATGCACCATCATCCTTCTTGAGCTTGCTGATGTACTCAGGGTGAGCTGAAAACAAGAAACGCCTAAAGAACAAAGATGTAACCGCAGCAGAACAGCTTACTCAAAGCATCTCAAAGCAATATGAAAGGACGTTTTTAGGTAGTAGTTGTTTTTGTGTGCCACTCCTGGTCCAAAGCAGGCTGAAGGACCGTCATGGGTCCACCGATGTGCTGACAGCTTTTGTCCATGTGAGCTGCCACCAAGCTTGCGCCAATGCTGTTCTCTTGCTTGATGTGCATCACTTTGGCCAATCGAAGAGCGCGATCGTTCTGCTGTGTTTTCTGGAACAAGTTGGCGCATTGTGCTGCATCCCTGGCTAGGGATAAGGCATCTGCCTCAAAGAGAGCCTTGTTTTTCGACAGCTCCAATTCCCCAATCTTTCCATCAGCGTCATCTAGGCATGAGGTCTTCTTCGACAGCTCAGCAAGATTGTCCTGCCACATGCCAAGATCACTTGGTTGAAAGCTTGCCATCTGCCACTCCAAAGCATCTTTGAGCTCATCATTGAAGTCCCTCAGATGAGTGCTGATGTGAGACATAGAAACATTTCATGAAACCATCCTTGCCAAAGAAAACTTGAAAACATGTCACAGTTAAGAGGGCCAATGTACTGTGATACCGTGTGATACCTCTTCAAGAGAGATTGGGGGCACCTTTGGGATTTTAAGATTTAGGAGTTGCTTGGTTGGTGTTTTCTTCCAACAAGTCAACAAATCAATACCATCACATGCAAGGGTCCCTTCGATGAACTGCTTGTTCAACTTGGTCACTGTGTCAGCCTGGAACAAGAGTAGATTGTCCGTGTTTCTACGTGTAGACATCTCATCCAAGATGTGACCGGCCAGGCAAGAGATGTCAGCTTCCTGGAGCCAATGCTGCAAGCTCAGCCGTAGAACTTGGGCCTTGCCAGCCTTGGCCCGGGCCACCTCGAAGATGAAAAGCACCCGCTGCATAAATAGCAGCTGCTTGCTTGGTGTCATTTTGAGCATGTCGAACCAAGCCCCCTCCGCATTCTTGGGGCCACCACCCAAGAGCCATCTGGGGTTCAGCAAGGTCTCTTTGCTGAAAGCTGCAGGGACGAGGCCGGTGGGAGAAGAGGAAGTGAGGGGTCAAGCGTGATATTGTATCAGGTGTATGACAATACATTCTTTCAAAACCAGGTGGAGAAAACCGACAGGAGTTTTGATAGGTTTGTCATTTTGTTTAACTGATTAGTGCACAAATTCATTGTTTTTGCAAACTCGTAGTCCTGAGGATTCAAACTTGTGCACATGAAGGTGCTGCAAGAGATGCCGCCAAACATCTGTTGTGACTCCATTCTGCACAGGGATATGAACTGCCATAAGATGGTTTGAAGGTTTGCCGCATTGATATTCATGTTCAACCCAAACTGACTTTGCTGCGCCCCTAGTTACTTTTTGAGCCTTTCTCTTACTACCAGCACCCAACCTGCCTTAAAGCCAAACATCAAATTTGAAGAGTTCTTGTCGATCCTGTGCTTGGCGGAAACGGCATTGGCGCCATAGTTATTATACTCATCGATCGCTTGGTCCCAGGCAACACTGTAGGTCATAGAGCTCACGCTTTCCTGCTTCGGTGATATTTTGGGATGCTGGTGTCAGAAAGCGCTCTATATAAACTATTTTGGAGTATCGTCCCCAGAGACATTCAAATAGAATCACAAGACGGTAAAACAAACCCGCGTAATAAACATACCAAGGATCCTTGTGAATTGTTTCAGCTCGACCATGGAAAAGAACTGACAACTGGATGATGTTCTTTTTTTGCCGCTCAGCTTGTTGCTGGGAGTTCGCAAGGCGCCTCCACACATAGTCTTGCTCCTGCTCTTCCACGATGTATTGGCATGCAAAAACCGCTGCTGTTGACAACCACCTCAGATACCAAGTAAGTGACCTATTGAAGATCATGAAAATCAGGAATGAAACAAAGCTCAAAGAAGCTTGAATTGTCCCAGAAATCAATATACACTGGGATGATGTAATAGGAAGACTTCCCTAATGTAGAAAACAGGAACTCTGAAGTATTGATTTTGGGGGGATGGCTTGAAGACATAGTTGCGTCACCCTTGGGGAAGTCAGGTTTCCAAATTTCCAAGGACGACGCTCCCACCCGGAGCATCACCCTTGGAAGCTGCTTCATCACCCCCCCCTGGGATTGCATGAAGTTAGGTTTTGTTGTGGGGACGACGGTTTGGATTTGGGGACGACGCTCTGTATCGGACCATCACCCCAGCATCGCCAGGCAAAGTTTCACATGGCCTCAAAGGACGACGCTCCCACCCCCACCATCACCCTTGAAAATTTCAACATGTGGATCTTCCAGGGACGACACAACCATGTCGCCCAACTATGTCGCCTAAGTGCTTTCCAGGTACTGTTTGAATTGGCCTTGTTCTTCGACTGACCAAGTCTTGGAGAGCTCCAGGTAGGTGTAGAGTACTGTGAACCACAGAATCGTCAACCTACCACATCCTTTGGTCACCTCCACCGTGTGGTACCCCAGAGGGTGGCCGCACAAGAGAGGATCTGCTGGCTTGAATTCCATAGCCTCCCTCCACTGTTCATACCCAGTTGTCCAAATTGACCAAGCGTGGGAGGCCCAATCAGTGAGAATGGGCAATCCATCATCCGGGATCTTCACTCTGAAGGCGACCAGGGGAAGCGCAAAGTTGGAGACTCGAGTCGATTCCTTGCGTGATGGGATTTGGACAGCCTGGGACTCCATCAAATCTCTTCAGGTGTTGAATTGAAATTGAGGGAGCGTCACCCAGAAAGCAACAAAACATGTGCTGAACACGAAAAGTGTCAGGCATGATTACGTCCCGTGGTTTCAATATTGGAGTGCCCAATACATCATCCATCCACATGTGCAGCGGCTCGTAAAGTTCAGGCTTCAAGGATCTCATTAACCAAGAGACCGGGTGCTGATCTTTCATCGGGTCGAAACTCCTACCCAAAGGATCCAAAAGGACATGTTTTTAAGGATCTTTAGGACTGCAGGGAAAACACTGAAAACGCATCATCTAGAAGTACAACATTTAATCTCTCCTCAATGCTTCGTCCATTCGCTCCACCCATGCTGGTACAGAGCCCTTCAGTGCTTTAGCAGAAGGGGGGGTCGCTCTACCCCCGGGCCTTTTCCCCATCTTTCCAGTGCAGGGATGGTCCTACCAGCGGAGCCTTGAAATACATACAGTGCAGGTAATCAATTACCACCCTACCATCTTCATGTCACACTGCTGACATGATTGCAGTGTGTGTGTGTGTGTGTTTGCATGTGTTCGTTGAGCACGTAGTGCAACCCATTTTGCTTTGCAGCTTGCCTGGCGAAAGGCTGTATCTACACTAGCGGCACCAAATTAAACTAAAAGGAGGTCATGTGGTTCCCAGGCTACGTATCCTTCATGACCAAGCACAGTTGTGCCAAAATGATAAAAGCGCCAATGCAGGGGACGCTCATTGCGTTCCCTGCCATGCGAACCAGGCTGGAATCCTTCACCTGGTCAGTTGCCAAGCAGGGGGACTTAGAAATCCTCCCTTGGCTGCGGCTAGTTGGAACTTGAAGTGATGCCAGCATCTCCGTCGGGTGCATGCATCTCTTGGCCTCCTGGGGAATGGGGTCACCACCTAGCACACTCAGACTAGTGACTAGTTGTTTTAGTTAAGTTGCTTTTCAGAATCCCAACATTTCTTTGCATCACCCTAGCCTTCCCATAGAGCTGACCACTGTTCGTGGTAAGGGTGCATAAACATCCATCCACCAAATCAGTGCGACCTCTGCCATTTCGAACCAGTTGGTTCAAATCTGCCACCTGCCACGTTTTGGCCTTCCTGAACATCATGGGGTCATTGTAGTGCCCAAGGTTCACTGCCTGGGCGGCGCAGGAGATGGACTTTTCTTTTAAACCTGACTTGCGTATGTCCAAGCAGTAGTTAGAGATTGAAACATAAGTTGAAATGAGATACCTGGGATGGTGTAAGCTTGCCAGACCCTTGAGGTAGGTAGAAGAAGTCCTTTGCTGACATCATTGGAGTGGCTTGCAAGGCATCCAACACCTCCTCGAACTTGAACACTGGGCTTAGACCGTAGCATGACTCTTTCCATGCCAAACCATAGGAACGAGGGCGAGCGTTGGCAAACCCGAACAGCCTGGGACATATCCGGAAGGCTTTGCATGCCCATCCACTTGGCAGCTCCCGGGCCACAACTTCTTCGATGTTGTATTCAGGGACACACTCTAGGATTGCCAAATCAACTTGTGACTGACACCCAGCATAGAAGTCTTTGTGAGCTTGGTACTTGGGGTCACTCTCTCGTTGACGCTGCCCCATCGCTGAAAAGGGCTGACAAGGTGTACCTGAACATGTGTGGTGCACAATGATCCCAATAGTCAGACTGTAAGGTAGAAGCACCCAAAGGAAGAGAAAACATCACAAACTCATCAAAGACTCCAAACAAACAGTCATATCTGGCCTGCAATCCGCACCCGTTGTCCTAAGCAGGAGGTTCTCATGATAGGGGATGCGTTCTGTTTAGAAAACATGTTGACATAACACTCAACACCCCCCAAATTGTAAGTTGAGCATCGACCCGGTGCTTTCTCAACATGGGCCGGGCATTGGGTTCCATGAGTGATGCAGTAGGCAGTGGACTTGCCAGTGGTCTTCTTGACATCTTTCACATCCGTAAAGCAACAGCCAGGGTATGTTGAGGTGAGAACCTTTTGGCATGCTGAATCCTTTTCACATGACCAATGGATCATCGGTCCCCAGTCCATGGGCTTCCGGTGCAGCTTCGAAAGGTCCTTGCTCTCCGCCATCATCAGAGAGAACAAGGCCTGGGCGATGAAAGGAGAACCAAGATGGGGAGGAGACTGGCGGAGAATATACAGAACAATTGTATGAGTTCCTGTCTTTGTGCCTTGCTTTTGTTGGAACCAAGGGCAGGGCTTGTTCAGGACAGCCAATGCCACTGAAGCATGTAGTGACATCCCATTTCCAATCAGTCATGCTGCGGAGCACATCATGTTGTCCATACCGCCTGTAAAGTCTTTTGAGGAAATGATCAGCCCAACGAAATCCATCCATCACAGATCGTGCTCCGCGGCCAGTACCAGTAGAGATGAACACATTGGTCTTAGGATAGCGCTTCCTGTCAAAACAATTAAACACCAAGTGGCCTGAAGTCTTGAAAATAAATGCCTCTTGTTGAAATGTCATAAACCCTTGGGTTGGAAACAGCAGTCCTTGTTTCCAGCTTGATTGGATTCTGTTTGTTCTTCTGGATGGTCTTCTTGACAGGCCTTCCAATTTCTATCTTTCAATGCTACAACAACGAAGTGTTTGCCACATAGCATGTCACCGTAAACATGGCCATGCCTTCTAGACGGTGAATTTTGCACTCTCCCCTGAAGGCTCTGGATGGCATCCTTGACGCTGAGAGGAGGACTCCTGGGCGGTCCGTGAATGTGACAGACTCCGGGCTGGGCGAACGATTTGACCTGCACATAGATTTGACTTGTTCTGAACATTTATACAGCAGTAATGCAAACAAGTATCATCTCCTACTGACCAGTGAAGTGGCCCCCAGCAAACCACCAAACCTCTTTGATAGCCAAAACAACTACTGGTTCAGTACATGGATCAACCTTGATCACATATTGTGCCCTTGGCACAATGCAACTCAGCAAAACAAGTGAAACGGCGGCAATTACTTTTTGCACCCCGGAATTGTATTTGTTTTGAAACTTGTACTGCTATGCCATGCTTCAGTCATCCTGCTTAAGTGGATAACATCTGATCATGAAGCAACATGATTTTGGAGCAAGCTCCAAGCAAAAGTGAAGTCGCTTGGAACAACCTCAATTGCGAACTCATTTCCTTCCTGGCGAAGATGCAGCGGGCCTGGAGACACTGGGAAGCGCACACTGTTCTAGTGTGGCAACAGTAACACGAAGTGAAACACCACA